GAAGTGGTGCTGCACAATATTGTGAATATACTAAATGTCACTGAGTTATACATTTCAGTTAATTTTATATGTGTTTCACCTAAACTGAATAAAAATCAAGAGATTTGTGTTCGCTCATGTACATGCACACACACACACACACACACACAGAAAAAGAACACCAGGAAAGTACTAAGTTGGGCAGTAATGTTGAAAAAAGAAAACATTTGTTTAGGACATCTCAAGTTTAAACTGACTACCAGCCATCACGTAGCATGTTGCCAGCACCTATTCACACAGATCTTTGATATGGCTTTGTATGTCCAGTACTCTGACCTCCCCTTTTATTTAGAAATAGCATATGTAACCCAGATTCCAGCACACACTAGCCTCAGAGCAACTCTCAATTTTTCTAAGCATCAATTTCCACATCTGTAAAATAAAGTATAGCATCAGCTTTAACAGACCCAGTGTGACTATCAAATTAAATAACATATATAGGAATTGTTAATAAAATTTTAAATGATAAATAAATATAAAATTTTGTGACCTGCCCATCCAATGAAACTCATCCAAAGATTGGAGGGAAAATACTGATATCCTAGGAGAAAATTACCTGTGCTATGGGTTTTGGTTTTAAGTATTAGCTGTGTCAGTTTGCAAGCTCTACTTCCCAGTCACACTAACTTTTACTTCATGGGGTTGCTATATAGGTTCAATGACAACATATGTTGAAGTGCTTCATACATTGTCAAGTGGTAGTCAAAAAGCTTGGCTTTAGAAAGGCACTAATGGCAGTGGGGGAAGTCAGTGGCTTTAAGTCCCAGCTCTGCTACTTAGAATTGAATCTTGAGTAAGAGTAAGACACATTTTTTATCTGCGATATGGAGGCAAACAGACTTCAGTTTAAAATCTCATATTAGGCCCTCATTAGCTATATTAATATCTGAGTTTGAGTTTCCTCATCAGTAATAAGATACAATAATTCATACCTTGCAGGGTTTTTGTAAATATTAGAAATGTACAGAAAGTGCTTAAGGCAGTAACTGGCAAATGGCCGATGCTATTACTACAAGTATATCCCCTTGCCTATTACAATAAGTGTGGGAAAGTAGCTATTCAGCAAATACTTATCGCCAAGAAAGCTGACGTACAAGCTTAAATGTTCAACAAGCATTTCCAGAAAGAGGTGTAGAAGAGTACAAAGGCAGACAGGGAAGCAGTTAATAAAAGGACAGTAACAGCCAAGAAAGCAAACGGGTTAGCCCATAGCAGAGAAGATGAAAGAACAACATACAGGGCCAAAGGAAGAGCGCTCAGGAAGTAAGGCAGCCTAAAATCAAATGCCAAAATAAGTAACAACAAACAAGTGGCAATAAGGAATCATTGCAAATGAAAGCATGAGAATGAGGGGTACTTGAATAACCAAAGGAAAAAATGGTAATAGGAATTACTACTGAAAGACCACTGATTTGACCAGAAGGTGGTCAGTCACTGGTTACTTTCCACAGGTCTGTTTCATTTGCTAATGACAAATACTAAAAGCCTACTACTGGCAAGGCTCTGGTTGGGCAGCCTGGGGCATGCTGATAACATAAAACTACTCATTGCCCTACAATCTAACCCTTCTGCTGCGGGCCTCGCTGCAGGCCTGTGGGCAATCACCCTCTTCTTGCTGGAGCCTAGACTGGTCCCCACAGCCAGGTCCTAACTGGGCTTCTGCACAACCTGTTGCTGCTGCCTCACTGTGGAATCTGGTAACCAATGTGCCTCAGCCTCAGGGCTGTGCCTCTTATCAGCCAAGAGCTAATCTTGTTGGGTCTGTGTTTTCCAATTTTTCTACAGTGAATTGGAATTACACTGTAATTGGAAAAATACTTTAAAAAAGAAACAGGGAGATTTAAAACCTGTTCAAAAAGTAAACAAAAGGGGAAAAAAAAGGAGGTAGGCAAGGCAATAGCTGGACAGGGCAGAAGAGAATTTTGTTGTTCTTATTTTAATTGAGGATTGGGGATATGTGTTCATAACTGAATGGACCATGGGAATTCTGTGTGGGACCGAGCTTCCCAAAGCTTATCACCCAGGAATCTTGTCAAAAGGTAGTTTCTGATTCACTAGGTCTAGGGTGGAGGCCCAAACAGTGGTGTGATGATTCGAAGAGCTTGTGCATCTCCTTGGTAACAATACTCCCACTGTGGCAATTTCAAGCTACCAACAGGAGGCCACCAAGCAGCTTGGGAAGAGATGTACACAGTCAGGTGGAGACCAGTAAAAGCTGGCTCCAGCACATCCACATTACTGCATTTCTAACAGACGCCAGGTGATAAAAACGCTGCTGGTCCGTGGACCATATTTTGAGTTGAAAGGAAGAAGATAACAGTAAAGGGATTAGGCTAGGACCGTGGTAGGCAAACCGCAGCCCGCAAGCCACATGTGGCTCTTTGGTCCATTGAGCGTGGCTCTTCCACCAAATACCACATGCGGGCACACACGTACAGTGAGACTGAAACTTTGTGGCCCATGCGCAGAAGTCGGTTTTCGAGTCTATTTTGAAGAAGTGGCGTTAGAAGAAGTGGGGGGTGTCAGTAGGTCAGTCGGGCGACGGGAGACAGGAGACGCAGCGCAGGGGGGCCGCGGGATCTGCAGTGCAGGGGAGGTGCCAAATATCAACAGTACTTAAACTATATAGGTAGGTTAATAACAATGTACCTACCTATATAGTTTAAATTTAAAAAATTTGGCTCTCAAAAGAAACTTCAATCGTTGTACTGTTGATATTTGGCTCTGTTGACTAGTGAGTTTGCCGACCGATGGGCTAGGATAAAGGAGACGTGAGATGATTTGGGACAGTAGGGAGAGACATCATCTAGATCAGGGTTTCTCAAGCTCAGCATTACTGACATTTTGGGCCAGATAAGGCCGTACAATGTTGGATGTTTAGCTGAATTCCTGGCTTTCACCCACTAGATGCCAGCATCCTCCTCATCCAATAGTCACAATCAAAAAGGTCTCTGGCCGAAACCGGTTTGGCTCAGTGGATGGAGCGTCGGCCTGCGGACTGAAAGGTCCCAGGTTCGATTCCGGTCGGGGGCATGTGCCTGGGTTGCGGGCACATCCCCAGTGGGATATGTGCAGGAGGCAGCTGATCGATGTTTATCTCTCATCGATGTTTCTAACTCTCTATCTCTCTCCCTTCCTCTCTGTAAAAAATCAATAAAATATATTTAAAAAATAAAAAAAAAACAAAAAGGTCTCTGGACACCAGTGATCTAGATTCATCTCTAACAAATGAAGGAGAAGGAATGGGTACCTCTTCTGCTGAGAAAAGAGACATTAAAGAGGAGTGGGTGGAACACAAAACCATGAGACAATGAGCTCTTTAGATGTGAGCAAGCTCAATCAAGTAGGAAAAAAAGGTTATCTGTTTAGAAAGAGTGCAAGGAGGATTGAAAGTTTAAAAGATCAGAAAAGTTCTAGAGAGTAACAGAAAGGTTCTGAACCAAGACAATGGGTCCAACAAGAAAGAAGTAGAATCAGGGATATCTTTGGCTCTTGGGAGTCAGAATTGCCTGGGTTCAACTCTGGCTGTACCACTTACCAGCTGGGTGACCTTGAGCAAATTATTTAACAAGTATAAGCCTCCTCATAAGAAAACTTCATAGAGTAGTCATAATAATGCATGTTAAGTTCTGAGCACAAGGTTTGGTACACAGTCATGCTCAATGTTAACTACTATTATCAACATTGTTATTTTCCTTGAAAAATATCTGCTTCATTTGGCTATTGCTTTAAACTTCTCTGATGAAACAAAACACATGGAAAGACCTGAGGCATTATTTGTTGATGTGCTTTATAAACACTGTACTCATTGTGGAAACAGAAACTTTGTAGCTGACTGAGGAGGCATGAGAGTTGTAGAAGCCAACCAAGCACTCATTAACTGACGCTCCCAAAATCACAATGAATGAGACAAGGTAAAAGGGAATGAAAAGCCAATAAATCCAGGGAAAACAAAAAGTTAAATTTTACCTGCAGCTGGCAGGTTTTCATAGGACTCCAGTTAGCACAGAGAATGTGTGATGAACCCTAGTACAGCCGCCATAGAGGGCAGGTTTATAAGAACCAACCTGACTTCAAGTTGTTCATCCTACAATAACAGTTGCTGTTGCTGCTGGGTTTTTATCTAAGTCAAGAACTGATTAAAAACACAGAATCTAAAGTAATCCCTTTCAGAGGTTCTCAACCTGTGGGTCGCGACCCCTTTGGCGGTCAAACGACCCTCTCACAGGGGTCACCTAAGACCATCCTGCATATCAGATATTTACATTACGATTCATAACAGTAGCAACATGACAGTGATGAAGTAGCAACGAAAACAATTTTATGGTTGGGTCACAACATGAGGAACTGTATTTAAAGGACCAGAAGGTTGAGAACCACTGCTTTAGATACTCAAATAACAGTCTGCAGCGTGGAGGATTCAGAATCATCACAGTGTTCTCTTCTAGGTTTGAGTAGGTACTGAACACCTATTTCAAGAGTACGACATTTTCCCACTACTAAAATTCTTGGGAGCTCATGGAGGGTTCTGTCTGTCCCATGTACAACTGACCAACGAGGGATGGGAAGCACGCCGGGTTCAAGAAGCTCCTCAGTGTCTGTGCAGGAAAGCTCTTCCCGACTAGAACAATTAAAGATCCTCCAAGAGAAATGTAGAACACTACAGAGAATTCAAAAATAAAGTTCATTCTAACAGGAAACTTACCAAGATGAGGATATAAGATCCCCATATAAGACTCCTTCAGCCTAGCCTGCTGACTTCAAGCATTTTACATCAACAAAAGAACAAGAGCCAAAAGGGCAAACATTATCACGCATACCGAGCTTATCAGCTGTCTGTATGGGGGCTAAACACCGGGAAGAAGAGTTGATGTCACCACCGTGCAGGTGGCCAGGAACCAGGGTCCTCAGCCAACCACAGCCACCGGATTCCCAAGCTTCCAAAAATAGCTATGACTTACACACAAGCGCTCGGCCAACACCTCCCAGACGACAGTCTCATAGATGGTGATGAGATGGGGGTCACTTCTCCAACGGTGGCCAAGGGACGTGAAGATGCCCATGATTAACAGGCACGTGGTCTCAACTAACAGGAGTCCCGAGAAATGTACAGAACTTGCTCTCCCTGAAAACAGTCTCTTCTCTACATCAACGCCACTGACTCAAAACTAAGATTTATTCCCACCTGTTTCCAGTCCCTGCCCTAAAAATGAATAGAACTGATCTCTGAAAGCAGAGAAAACCCTGACTCGGGTGCCGGCAGGCACTGGGAGCACCTAACAAAGCCATTTCCATTAGAAAGCGGCATACTCTCATTTCCAGGTCTCTTTCACTTCCGAAGTTCTAAGAGGAAGTAAGCGTGTCCACCTTCTACACTACCGGCCTCCCGAGTGCAAGGAGAGGGTAAAAAGGTACCAAAGGTCTCGCGCGCGAAGGCCTCTGACAGCTCTGTGTTGCAGATGTGCCTGGAATCCCTCGCTTCCAAACTCGCGTGTGAACACCCGGCCCACGTTCCCCGGTTTGCTCCCTGGAGGGGCGATGGGGAAGCGCGAGCGGTGACATCCCGGAGTCGCAGGGAAGACAGTCTCACACTGCCCGCTTCCAGGTTCCCTCACACCGACGTCAGCCTCGGGTTTCCTCCCAAAGCGCGTTCCTTTCCTCGCGCCACCGGAGCCCAGAGACCCTGGTGCGGCTCGGGGTCCTCGCAGACACCCGGACAGGCACACGCCCCCGCCTCGGCGCGACGCCCCCTCCCTAAACCCCGGCGACCAGCGCGCCCCTGCGGGCGCTGCGGGGAGACGGGCGGCTCTAGGGAGCGTGGCCGGCGGCGAGGGCGCAGGGGGGTCGCCAGGACCCGGCCTCTCCCCGGTGCTGGTAATGCCGGCTTTCGGTTAACTTCTCCCGGGGTGAGACTCTCTCAAGCGGATTTTAAAATAGAAACAAAGCGCCAAGACCACCAAAGCCGCCCTGGAAGTTCCTCGGCCCCGGGCGCGGCCCGGAGCGCTCTCCCCAGACACCGCGGTGCAGACACCCCGCGCCCGCCTTCCGGCTTCGTTTCCCAAAACATCTGATGCCCCCCGTTCCGCGACCGAACCGAAGTCTAGGAAAGACTCCAGCCTCCTCCCGAGCCCCTTCCCCGCGCTCGCCCACGCCCCGCGGTGGCCCCTCGCAGCCCCCGCCCCGCCCGCAGGCCGCGCCCGCGCGGCTCCCGCCCTAGCCCCCCACCCCTCCTCTCTCCGATCCGGAGCCCGCCCCGCCGCTCCCCGCACCCCGCGCCGCCACGGAGCCCACCGAGCCGTGGCCATCGGCTGCTCCGGCCGCGTCGTCCTGCTGAAGCTCCGCAGTCATGGCCGGGTCACCGGCCTCCCGCCACCGCCGCCAGCGCTGCCTCGCAGGAGGAGGAGGAGGCGGAGACCCTGCCACCGCCACCGCCTCTGCCCCAGCGCGCGCCGGAGGCTCCGCCCACACGCCCGCCATCACCGCCCATCATCCCGCTCCGGCCCTGCCTCCGCCCCGCGAGCGCCGGAGGCTCCGCCCACACGCCCCGCCCCGCCCCCGCCGAGGGCCGCGGTGCTCTGCGTGCCGTGCGCACCGGCTTGACCCTGGCGTCGGCCACGTGACCCCCGCCCCGCCCACAGCTAGCGGTCGGCATCGCCACTCGGGGAGGTTACGTTCGCGGCGGGGTGCCCAGGGCACGGTTTTCCGGCGGCGGCCTCTGCGTCCCGCGCCCCTTCTCCGTTCTCTGCTTCCAAGATATGCTCATGTCTAGGACCCGCCGCCCGCTCAGCCTTGCCCTCCGAGGAGTGAAAGCTGCTCCCCAATTTGGGACCCGGTCTAGGGACAGCGTAAATAAAGGGCTTCCCACCTGGTCACGTGGTCATTCCTAAGTCCAGCGACACGAAAAATTATTAATCATCTTTTAACAAAGGAGAGAAGTTGGATGAGTGGCCTTCCGAAACTTAACGAAACCTCTTCACTGCTGCCCAGCGTGGTGCCTCACACTGGCGTGGGCATGGGCAGTATGGACAGTAGCCACTGTGTTTTGCCACCAACAAGGACGGGGTGGAGGGAGAAGGGGTTGCAGCTCAGTCCCTGCAGACCCGGCCAGCCACGTGCACACGCTGCACTGCTGCCGGGATGGAGAGGAACTTAGCGGAGGGGAAGAAGTTAAGGAGAGGCATTTGTGGTTACAGAGCCTGATGTAAGCACAGCTCTTTCTGCAGGGTTCCCCAACGGCCCAGCACGAGAACTGCCCCCAGGAGCGCTAGTTCCAACCACGGTCACTCCCACCGATCTTGTTACTTTAAAGCAGTGGTTCTCAACCTTCCTAATGCTGCGACCCTTTAATACAGTTCCTTATGTTGTGGTGACCCCCAACCATAAAATTATTTTTGTTGCTACTTCATAATTTTGCTACTGTTACGAATCGTCATGTAAATATCTGATATACAGGATGTATTTTCATTGTTACAAATGGGACATAATGAAAGCATAGTGATTAATCACAAAAACAATATGTAATTATGTGTTTTCCGATGGTCTTAGGCCACCCCAGTGAAAGGGTCGTTCGACTGCCAAAGGGGTCGCGCAACCCACAGGTTGAGAACCGCTGCATTGCTTTGGGCAATGTGGCTATTTTAACAATGGTAATTATTTCAGTCCATCAACATGGACTGTTTTGAGAGTATTATGTTAAGTGAAATAAGCCAGACAAAAAGAACAAGAACTGTATGGTTACACCTATATGTGGGAAATAAAACAAAAAACAACAAATGAACAAATAAATTTAAAACCTAGATACAGCAGAATGGTGGTTACCAGAGGGGAAGGGGGGTGGGGAAAGGACAAGGGGGCAAAGAGGGCCCAATACATGTCAGAAGGAGACTTGGCTTCAGGTGGTGGGCACATGATACAGTGTACAAATGTTGCGTTAGGAGGTTTTACACCTGTAATTTGACGGTTGCCATTTTACCCCAATAAATATAAAAACATACTAAAATAGAAAAAAAATTCTTAAGTTGTCCCATTTTAGATTTTCTGGAGTTCAAACTGAAGTATTGTAGTATTTTGTTAAGTTTGAGCAGATGCTTATGATAGCATGTTAAAGCTAAGGTGCCCTCCGTTGAGTTGTATTTTGAACAATTTGGTGGATATTGTAACTACTGACCATGTTTCACATTTACATGTATCACGAGGGCACGCTTTTGGCTCTCCAAAATCGATGCTCAGGCTGGGTGTAAAAGCGCCTTTTTGAGGGGTTACTGCTTTTACCATTGCCCTGGTCCTAGCCCTCGGGCAGCATCTTGGTGTGAATTTTTTATGGATAGTGGCCTTTCCTGTGCTCCCGGCATTGTTGTTCGTGCGACTGTGATGTTTCACCGGCAGGTTTTTCTAGTCTGCATGTGCCCACGACTTGTGGTCTAAGGACACGGTGAAGCTCCCATGGGAGACCTGATTACTCTCAGGAGCCTGAACTAGGACTAGGGATAGATACTTCTTTTGCCTAGAGATACAGGGGCCCCCTATCCCTGGCAGGTAACTTTTGAAGAGATCAGAATCTTCCACATTCAACAGGCTGTGTTTATGTCTAATGGTTATAAGACTATTTTTTTGTGTGGCTTTACCCCCTCCCCCTTTTTAAAAAAATATATTTTATTGATTTTTTACAGAGAGGAAGGGAAAAGAATAGAGAGTTAGAAACATCGATGAGAGAGAAATATCAATCAGCCGCCTCCTGCACACCCCCACTGGGTATGTGCCCGCAACCAAGGTACATGCCCTTGACCGGAATTGAACCCTGGACCCTTCAGTCTGCAGGCCGACGCTCCATCCACTGAGCCAAACCAGTCAGGGTTCCCCCTTTTTTTTAAATGAGTAATCAAACCTGTGTTCATGGCCTCAACCCTGGGGGTCAGAGCAAAACAAGTTGATTTCTTAGCTTAGTTTATTTGATTGCATACTTGTGCGTTGCTAGAAAGCTCTATTTTTGTGTGTCTTTAGCATGTCTCTGGAGCCACTCTTGTTTCATCTTTGCACATTTGTCATAGGAAATTGCTTATTTATTGTGTGTAAGTGGGTGGAGACCTATTATGCTTAATTATGAAAATTTCCTTGAAAGACCAGCAAAGACTGTTTATACTCATGTCTCTGAAAGAGGTATGTACAGACCATTCGGTAAATATTGGACCCTGAGTTTTGATTAAGCCGCTTTCTGCTATGTGGTTCTAAACAAGACTCCATATTAATAAATTTGACCTAATCAATTTGAGGGCTATAGCCGCATGGGTTTAACTACCAGCTGGTCCTGGACATGGTAATCAGATAGAGATACCCAGTCCAACCAGCGTATTTAATGAACACTTTACGTCAGTACTCAGCCATCAGTTGGCAAGCTTCATGGTGATCAAATAACAAAAGTGGGTATCATGGAACATATGCTGTCACCTCAGAAAATCCCCTCTCATTCCTCTTTAAAACCCATACATGCAGGCTTTACAATAATTATGTTATTAGTCGATAATCATTTCAAGAGTATTCAGGAAAAATAATATTAATATGGAGCAATAAATAGGTGACCTATTAAAAAGGGGGCATAGTTTTCAGAGTATTTTCCCAAAGAAGAAATTGAATTATTTTTTCCTTTCTCAGAAAACTTTTTGTCCCAAGGCTCAGTAATTTTCTGAGTTAGTGTATTTATAGTTCTGCTTCTGATTTATCTCAAACTCCAAATATAGTTTGTATTATAATAAAATGATCCTATTTCAATGTTATTGAATGCTTCTATCAAACTTTGTGGGGTAAGTGAGAAGGGAGGGAAGGAGTTAGGAAAAGAAAAAAGAAAAAGGGAAAGAAAAAATGTATACTTGCATTTCATTTGGGCTTCACTCTATAAATAGTTTTTGCCACTGGCTTCAGACCAACTGGAGTTGAAAACTGATGGCCGAGGCTGATTGACAGGAGTAGCTGTTCTTTGAGCCATAGGATCTTTTCCAGGGATGATCTAGACAGAAATATCCTTAAGGGCCAGCTTCTCGGCAGTTACAAAAAGGGCCTTTCTTACTACAGAGGAAAGGAGGAGGACAGATTAAAGATTTAGATGATGTGTAAGTGTTGAGGTTAAATTATAGGTGTTGTTTTTGCTAGTTGAAAAATCAGTTCCAACCTTCCTGAAATTTGTATGATGTCGGATGGATGCTGGATTTATTGGGGTGATCACTTTATAGGCTATATAAATGGCCACTTACTGAGTTAGACACCTGAAACTAATATAACATTGTACATCAACTATAATTGAAAAATAAAAAAGTATTTTTTAAAAGGTATAATAAAATAGAGAGCTAGAAGTAAAGCCATTTCTGCAATCTTTATTTTTTTAAAAATATGTTTCTATTGATTTCAGAAAGGAAGGGAACGGAGAGAGAGATAGAAATATCAATGATGAGAGAGAATCATCGATTGGCTTCCTCCTGCACACCCACTACTGGGGATTGAGCCCACAACCTGGGCATGAGCCAAGCCAGCCAGGCTGCAATCTTGATTTTTAATAGACCAGCATCAAAGACCAGAGAAAATAGGATGGGCTTTTAATAAATGGTGCTCAGACTGATAGTTATCCATATAAAATTTAATTTTGGACTCTTACCTTACATCATAAACAGAAATCAATTTAACAAAAACAAAGTTAAAAACTTGTGAAACACCTTTAGAGAATCCTATGCTTTGGGGATAAAGTGTTCATTAAATACGCTGGTACCTTCTTAAACCAGGTACAAAAAACCCAACTCATAAAAGAATAGATCGATAACTTCGATTATGTTAAAACAAGGAATTTCTCTCCATTAAAAGATACCATGAGAAAAATTAAAACATCCAGAAACTGGGAGAAAATGTTTTTAACACATATACCTGATAACATTAGTATCTAGATTACAGTGGTTCTCAACCTTCTGGTCCTTTAAATACAGTTCCTCATGTTGTGACCCAACCATCAAATTATTTTCGTTGCTACTTCATAACTGTAATGCTGCTACTGTTATGAACTGTAATGTAAGTATCTGATATGCAGGATGGTCTTAGGCGACCCTTGTGAAAGGGTCGT